AATGTATGACTTACTGTAATTACAGTTGCTCATATTCTTAAGCAGATCGTAAACTTACCTGGTGAGAGAGCAGAACATTTACAGGCAATATTTTACTGCTGACAGCTTAAAAGTTTGTTTATGCTAATCACTTCATAAATAGTGAGCAGTACACTGCTGGTGACTTTCAGAGCATTTTTGCAAGTGCAGAAAATTTCTTCTTGCTATTAAAGCAAATGACATTACAAAAATATATTTGTAAGGCATTAAGTACCCACTCTCTTCCTTTAACAACTTAAGAAATATTCAAGCTTAGTTGTTCTAATGATATATATGACTAGCTAATATTTGTTGTTCTGAGAGCTCGTGAATTTGACAAAAGCCTATCTGTCCTAGCTCTATTTTTATTAACTAGAAGAGGGTTTTAGATATAGCAGTTTATTAGAAGCTCTGCTGTATGAAAATCTGGAAGTTTAATTTCCTTTCCTTGAAAGAATCTCTTTTTTTTCTTTTTTACACGAGGAATGTGAACTAAAAGGGATTCCAACTTGGATCAAATTTCTTGTCAGAACACTGACTGATTATATATTTGTGTGTATAAATGAAAGAAGACCCCATCTTTAATGTTTCAAAATCATAAATGATTTCAAATACATACTGAATTTACAGTTTACAACTACAAAGCTTGTTTTACATTTTGTGAAGTTCTGATTCGTGTAAGTTTTTTTCTTTTAGCCTTTGAGATCTTACTCTTTTCTAATGATGCCACAGTATGCTCTAAGAGGTGTGAAGTGATTATCTGTATTACAGAAATAAGGAAGTAGATGCTGTTTTGTCTTGAAGTGTACCAGATGAGTTTACACGCTGGGTAACTTGCTGGAGAGTAAATTTTCAAGTATTGGAAATTTGAAACCAACTTATTTTATTAAAAACCTCCTTTTAAGTCTTACTCTCTTTGTCTCTTTTCAACCCCTTAAAGACTTGTGAAAATGGTATGAAGTAGAGATTTTAATTAAGAGACAACAGATGAATAGATGATTATGTTTAAGAAAAGGGTATTCCAGATTAATGACAGATAACTTTGAAGTAATGCAGGAAAACCACGTTTGTTTGGGAAGCAACTGGTGCCTGTGGGTACTTGTTACCCATGTGTGGAAGCTGGAGTGGGAACTGCGGTTGCCGGATTGTGTGTTGTTCCAAGGAAAGGCTGCATAAGTCCTTTTCTTGAAGGCCTCTGCAGTGCTGGCAGTAACAAACAGCAGGAAGGAGGTGAGGAGCAATGGGAGCTTGACCAGCAGTGGTAACTGCTGTCTCTTGTGTTTCTAAAGGTAACAGCATGTGAACACTGGCGAGTATAACTCCTTGTTCATATTAAACCTGAAAAATATCTGCCTTTATTTCAAGCTAAAATTAAGAACTTCACTGATGCTTCAGAGTGAATGTTCTGTTAGATTCCTCCTCTGTGCTGTGTACCTGTGTAAAAGAACAGTCCTTATCCAGCCGAGACTGCCCATTGACAGCTGTCCATTCCACAAGTGGCGTCACCAAGAATGAGGTCTGAGTTACTGCAGTTGTACCAGTGGTAGAGTCAAAAAAGCTAACAGGCTCTAAAATTGGTGTCTCGTCTTACCTCTTGAAAAGAGATGCAGAGTCATTGACAGAAAAACTTTAACCTTTTGGTAGGGAATAAACCCACAATCTCCTAGGGGATTAGGCTTCTTTTAAATGTTATGTTTATCTTCATAATTATGTGCTGTGTATTTTTATGAGCAAGCATGCTGTCAAGATAAACTTGCGCTGGGAAGCCCTAAATATACATGATTTTTTTCAGGACATTTGGCTTATTTGAGTGCCTGGCTTACAGTGAAAAGGATAATGGAGATGCATGGCAGGCAAAACAGAGCAAGTTAGATGCTTTCTGTAGAATACTAGCTTCTTTGAGATGCAGCAATACATGTCCTTTGGGTAATTCTTTCAAAATAAAAAGAGCAAAGTTAGTCAGGAAAAATGTTTTCCATCCTGTTTTCTGACACCTAGTATTATGTACTAGCAATGCAGAGAGAGCAAAGGCTTAGGCTTGTCTGCTAATATATGGCTTTCTGACAAAGGACTTGCACAGTGGGAGGTGGCTAATAGAAGTGATTAACAATAAAAACTTCAGTAAGGAATTAAAGGCAGATGAATGCATTCCATCTGATTTTTAAAAAAGTAACTGATGTAAGGGGTGTTAACGAGAGAAAGACTAAAACTTGGTTTACAGGATGAATTGAGATGTGATGTAAATAATACACTTCATGAGTGTTGAGGTCTTTTACATGCTCTTTGGATTGAAGATATTTTGATAATGAATCCAATATTAGCCTGGGTTCATGGATTGTTTTCCACTTGCCTTTTCAGTTTCCATAATTTACAGCAAATGGGTTCTCACTGGATTCTGTACTGACAGTCCTTAAATGTTTTGGCCATTTTCTGTCCATGACTGACAACCTCTGTGCTTAGCTTGGTCTTTGTAACTTTGGTTTTCATTCTGCTCCTTTGTACATCTTCAAGCCATTGCACTGCAGCCTTGCCATTGCATTTCTTTGTTTGCTCATATCTTCCTGACCTTCTTTTGTTTAGTTTTTCCTTTAATTTCTAGAAACTGCTCCGTAAATTTCTTAACCTGTCTTTCTCACTCAACTTGCTTGTACAAGAATGCCTTGAGCTCTGTCCTTGCTGTGTAATTTTACCAAAATGTCCCCTGGAGGTGTTGCCCTGTATTTTCTGGTGGTTTTCTTCTCTTCTGTGGTGGGTGTGCTGTGGGTTGATCCAGGCTGGTGATGGTGAGCGAGACAGGAGAAGACTTTGTCTTGGTTAGCAAAGGACATAACTGCCTTATTTATGGTTTACCAGTTAATTATGTGAGGTGGTGGAAAGTTGTTCCTTGGTCTGCCCCTGCTAAAGAAGTTACACTTTGTTTCAGGCTGACCATGCTCTGTTTTGGAGGTAACTGGTTTTCATTTTGCGGTAGTTCAGCAGCATGTAGTGGTTGTTAGATGGAGGCTCAGAAATACCGTTCTGGGATGTTTCTGTGACAAACAGCACAATCTATGCGCTAATTTAATAGCAGCTCTAAATTGAATACTTAGGTGTAACTGAGTTTTAAGTAGCACCTCTTCAAAACAGCAATATATTGTGTTCCTGCAGTTGGGTTTACCTCATTTCAAACAGCACTTTCAGAACTTTCAGTTGTCTTATATTTTTAACAGGCTGGTGGGCATGCTGTAAAACAGCCTATCTGGTACAACACAAGCTAATGAAAAGCTGGAATCCTTTTTATGTCCTGACAGACGCTCCGGTTGTGCTAAACTTGATGACTATCACTGCAGGGTTGGAATCTTTATTACTGCACCAAGTGCAATCTGGTACTTGGAACAAAAAGATAAAAACCATTCACTGTTTTAAAGTAATCTGTAAAAACAGTTACTTTGACTCTGCATCACCTTTCATGATTTATTACTTGCAGTGGAAAAGCTTTGAATTTTTGGGGGAGTCTATGAAAGTATCAAGTATTTCAAATTCATTTGATGGCTTAAAAGGATTTCTGTTCTTAATCCTGATGACCACTTATGGTATGAATGCTATTGTGTAGCAAAACCTGCTCATTTTATGGTAGTATTCAGTTTTATTTATAACTGCTTTCAAGTCTCAATCTTGAGAATTTTTGTAGTAAGTATCCAGAATGTTCACACACAACACACACAAAATGAATTCTTCGGTCCCTGGTATTTTAACAAAACATATTTAATTAGTTTTAGCCATGAGACTTGCACTGTATAAAGTTTTCATCATGCAGTCCATCAGCACAGTGTCCAAGTTCCTTGAAGTTTCACTAAAATGTCACAGTTTCAGGAAAATACTCAATTGTATGATGCCTCTCTTGTTAGATGTAATACATATGTGTATTTTATTTTTTTCACATGTGAATAAAAGATTCAAGAAATCCCAAGTAGATAGTCTGCTTTTTAACTATTACATCTTTCCAGCATTACGTAAAAGAAATATCTTCTAAAAATGTTACCTTTGCGAAAATTAATTTTGGAAAAAGTATACTCACAGTTAAATTTAAAAAATATCTCAAACTTTTGATGATGTCAGTTTTAAACCTCATGGATGTTCCTTGGAAGGAAATGAACATATATATATAAGAATATAATTCAGAAATTTGAATGTATTTTTACCCATCATTACTTGAAAAGTTAGTGGAAAAAATAATAAATTTGCTTGCTTTGTTGCTTCAAGGCTAAATGCTTCAAATGAGTTTGACTTGTACACAGTCAAAGTTCAAAAACCTAGGTGCTGGAGTAGAAAATCACAGTACACACACACACACACACACAAAGTTTGGTTTTGCTGTTTTCACTAGTTCAACTAATCTGTCCCTTCTGGTTTCCAAACCCTACAAGAATCTAGCTGATGCTTTTATCTACAGTTAGCATTTCCCTAACAAGTTCTCTGTGCTCTGTTACAAGTTGTGCTGGGCAGGGGTGTCAGTGAGCACTTGGGCCTTTGTGTAAATTTTTTACATCAGTGTTTTTTTCCCTCTTCAACTGTAGTTGTGGAAGATAGTGTGTTTTACCCAGAGATGTTTAAGTTGATGGTTGTTTAATTGTGCAAGTGAGGCAGGGTGAGTAGGTTACATATAATAGTCTTTCTTCCCTTTTTCAATGATGTTTCTTGGGGAAAAAAGGAATAATGCACATTTTATATCTTTCTTTGTATTAAAAACCCACAGAAAATGCAGATCGTTATAGAATGAACTGTCTAAAACAACGAAATGAAAGGTAGAATGTGGTACTTGCTCCTTGTATGTAACCGTTGTTTACATGTTACTCTTTACACATAGTTTGTTAAACATTTGCAACTTAAAACCAGCAAGATAATTATACATCAATACAAAAAAAAATCATCCTTTCCGAAAATAGAAAACCCAAGTGCCAACAACAGCCTCCCCCCTAACTTGTTGTATTACTGCTCCACAGGAAACTGTTGTGCTGAAAGGAAGAATTAACTGGTCTTTCAACTTCAGCCTTTTTATTGTGAGAGGGAAGATCACAGAAGTGTTACCATGGGGAGAACAGCAGTTAAAGGTAAGGCCTGGTAGCTTTAATACAAGAGAATGAAAATACAGAACGTGCTAAATTCTCTTTTTGAAACCAGTGGGATATTAGTTGACAATTACTATACTGTTAGATTAAAAAGACAGTTTGTGATATGTACTGAATACAAGTAAGTTCAAACTTCACATTGTTGTACAGTAAGTATGCTAAATTTGGCTGTCCTGCAAATTCAACCAAAGCTATTCTGTCCTGTGGCAGCTTTGAAACAATTTTTCTCCTCTGAAATTGAAGAATGTGTCTAGATGTGCTATTAATGAACATGGAGGGCTTTATTCTGTAACTGCATGTAATTTAGGTGGACAATAACTGAGTAGTACAAGGAATCAACTTTTATCAAGATAATTGGCATTAGCAGCTGTTTCTGGGAGATAAAATGAACATTTTAAAAGAAATTCATCCACAAATACAGAGTGTACAACAGAGACGTGATTTCTGCTGTGTCATGTCTGAAGATGTTAGTTGTGAATTATGTGCTAAAATAAAGAGTAAGACTTAAAAAGAAATGAATGTTTGGGCTGGTAAAACAAAGAGAATGTGAAGAGAGAAAGACCCACTGTCTGAAACTAGGTTGCTGCTGCTTTCAAAGCTTTCAGATTGGTAGTCCTCCCCCATAAAAGGCTGCTAGTTTTTGTACTTTCCTTGAGCTTTCCACCTTCAACCCAAGGTGCTTTATGTGCTTGTGTGTTCCCTTGGTAAATAGTTGTCTTTTGCTATAATATATGTTCTGTAATGGCAGGAGTCATCTGTTTAATTGTTGCACCAGAAGTTTATGGAGGAGGTCTATCCTCTTCTCTTGTAGGTTTTCTGCATGGCTGTTGTCTAAATATACTGAGAGACTCCCTGTTCCAGGCAGATAAGATAAGAATCCCACTAGGGAGGCACAAAAAGAAGGGAAAGGAGAAATTTCGTATTCACTCTGTCTTGATATCCTTAACTGTGTGCACTGAGGCTTGGTGAAGGGCAGCTAAAAGGTACTCACAACCCTGTGTGGTAGGGAGTGCAAAGAAGGCCCCTTCCTGAGCAATAGTAAGGTTTACTAAAGCTCATCTGAAGGTGAGTAACTGCATGGCACAGGAAGAGCAAAAGTTTCAGTCATCCAAAGGTATTCTCATCCATCGGGAAGAGACAAGGGGTTTCTTTGAGAAAAGTGTTATCCTGTCATGTTTTGAGCACCCAGCAGAGTTGAAGACTTTAGGGGGTTGAGAGATAGCTGCAGAAATCTTGAAAGCATGACTGTGAACTTTTTCCTCACATTGCAACAAGCAAATAGCAAGTCTTAGAAGATAGCACATGCATGCCTCCTCATGTAGCACACCATTCTGTGATAAAAACTATTACTGTCAAGAGACATGATGCTTGCCATCACTCAGACAAAGCAATCATCTTGTTTTTTGACAGGTTAATTCTAGAAAGAAGCATTGCAGAGTTTCAAAGCATCTCAGACTAGAAGCTGGAGTTTAACACGGGAGTTTATAGGAGGAAATATACACTGGTCGCCAGGATTATCTTTACCAGAGCTTTACCACCACCTTCTCTGATTCTTTTTTTTTTTTTTTTGGTATTCACAAATCAGTCAAGATAGCTTTGTCTTTTTCTTCTTTGTCTTTAATTTCTTGCATGATAGATGTGGTTGCTCTTGACTGTCTCCTGTTGAGTAATCTTATCAGCAGAATTCTGTGGTTACAGATAGGGTGGGAGTTATGTAAACACATGGAATTTTGCATCGGTAAACAGAAAGCACTATGTTAAATAATCCTAACTCTAATCTTGGTTTGTATCTAAAGGTTTAGCTTGTGAAGTGCACTGTAGAAAAAAAATTAGTTGGTGAACAACAGAATGTGTTGCTTTTATAATTTCAGTATATGTTGTACTCTGATCTTGCTACCTAGAAGAAAGCAATCTTTCATTAGGTATTTAGCCTGTATGTGTTATAGTTTAAATATATTTAGTTATATAGCAAATATATAAACTCTGTAGACTTATATGTATTACTTTATTTTTAAAACTTTCTTTGAAATTGATATCCCATTCTTTGTTGTTTTTTTAAAGAGAGCTGAGTATCATTTGGTTAAGTCCACAGCAGCAGTGTTTCATTCTAACTCTTGTTTGGGTAAATGATCTGAAACATACTGTGCTTTATATTGGAAAGTAAACTGAAACTTGTCTCTTCAGAAATGGACTTTGTGAACAGAAGAGGATAGATAATGAATTAAACTGACCTATTTTTTTTGTCACAATGAGCTTCAAGACTCTAGAACTAATAAGTCTCCCCTGTGTCCAGTTTATGTGTAAAATTCCTATTTTCAAGTCCGTTTTTCAGGTTTCAAGGAATTAGTCATTGAATGTGGCTAGGAGATGAATTTGGAAGGAGATGAAAACAAAATAACTCTTTGTACCTGTAGAAGTATTTTCCTCTTTCATAATCTCATTTTTGAGGTTCGATCTCAAAGTTTGACCAAGCTGAGGATCATGCGTGGAGGGAGTCATCTTCAGCCTAGTGATTTGATATAATAGTCTTCTGTCTCAATTTTTTTTCCATGATCTTTGGAAACTAAATTCACTAGAATATAGAATATCAAAATTTCAAATGCAGACTGGCGTGCATTAAAGAAAAAAAAAAAGAAAAAGCATGTGTTTATATTTATAAAATTGAATTTCAATAAAATTTTATTGTTGCTTTTGAAAATAAACCATGGTTTTTTATCCTCCCTAACTGCTGACATTGGAAAAGGCACACCTGACCAAGGCATAATAGCAATTGTGAAGTATAGACTGGGCAAAAGTTTTCTGTGGTGGTAGTAGATACAGGGTGTCTCATGTAGAATCAGGTAGGTAATTCTTCCTGCTAGCAGCTTTTCATCTGCTTAGACGAAACACTCCAGCTTTGTAATGGTGTTCCCAATTTCCCATTGAAGGTTGGAATGCATAAAAGCAAGGGGAGTTTTTTAAAGCAATCTTGGCTTTATTCAGACATATTTTTGGATGCTTCTGCATGTGCTGGGTGAGATTTACTTGAGCATTTTAAAGAGCAAATTTCTGGCCATCAAAAACAAGTGATAGTGACAGTGCTTTGTGTTTACTGTGAATGAAAATGCCTCTACCTCAAATGAACTAGATGGTTAAATTGCTGTTGAGAAATCCAGTTCTCATTAATATAATCATCTCCTCTTGTTCTTGTAGTTTTCCAGTGGCTGATAAGAAAACTGTGTTGCGAAGAGTGTTTTGTTTCAGCTGTCATATTTGCTGTGGTATTTTTGAGATAGGCACTAAACTTAAGTGGTACAGAGAATAAATAATTCGTGTGGTGATTGTCAGCAAGAGCACATGTGGTGTCCAGGCTGCAGTTTTTCACATTCTTCCACCTGTTCTTGATGTCTCTCATCATAAAAGGCTGTCATCTTGTTTGAAATCTGGCACTCTGTGCTTTCAAGCTTTGGGTGTTCACAGGAAGCAGTTATTAGTTCTCTTATTTCAATGGAGTCCCACATGAGAGACTTACTGATTTCCTCTTTGGAAATAGGTGTATTGGGAAGTTAGTTATTCTGTAAGCTTGATAGCCTGATGTTTGCAATAGTCCCATGACTGTTTTGGGGAAAACCTGACTAACTGAGCTTATAGAACATGGCAAAAGGCTCTGCTGTTGCATGCTGCTGCTCAGTAGAATTAGTTCTAACACTCTCCCTTCTCAGATTCCCACAGGTAGTTGTAGGGTGTCCGTTTGCGTGGCTTAAAGCCCTACTTCTGAGGAATTATTTGGGTTAAAGCTTGTGGGCACCATCCTGAATAATTTCAGCAGTTCCATCTGAAGTTGACCTCCATAAGGATTTCTTTCCATAAACCTATCCAGTAAAAAATGTTCCAAAGCAAACTTCTTTTTCAAAAAAAAAAGCATTGCCCGCTTGGTGTCATATTTGAATTGTACTTGAGTCCCTGAGTGTCAAAAGCAGGTCACCAAACCAACATATATTAAAGACTAAAAGGAATGAGTGGACTGTCTCCTTCAGTCTTCTGAGCTGCCCAGTTCCACTGTGTCTCTCATACTTACTGAAATCCTTCAGAAATGAAATATGACAGACTCCTTTCTGAATGCGTGTAGAGATAAATGATAGGGAAGGTAAATGATTCTTTTAAATAACCAGCATGTGCACTGAGATAGCTGCTTTGAATATTCAGGAATTTAATATTGAGAATATTGAGTATTCAAGAAGCTAAATATAGAATGGAATCTTTAACTCAGAAATATGCTTTTGGGGTGGGTTTATTTTTTTTCCCTTTGTTTCTCAGTTCAAAGTGATCTATACAAGGTTTATAAAGATATCCAGTGATCTTAAGGATCTCAAATTGTGTGTGGTTTGAGTAAAACTATTGAAAATTAGGACAGGGTTACTGTCTGTAGAGCTAATATTACATGTTCTGCAACTACATTTATTCTGATAATGTGATATAAAGTAGTCAGAAGCTCTGCTTTTTTATGGTGTACTTCTCAGTATATTTTGAAAGGAAAAATAGTGCAGTGAATAAATTTAGAGTACCCTTTGATTATGCACTGAAATGAATAAAAGAATGTCAGTATTTGGAACAAGATACTCTTCATTGTTTGAAAGCATTCTGTGTTATGCTGGACATTGTTATTATGTGAATATTACATTTATTATGTAACGGAATCTTGTCTTTTAGATTCAAAGAATATTAAAAAAGAGAAAGATGGAAAGAATCAGCAGGCAAACAACCCGTCTTTAAAAAGTGGTAGGTATTGCAGCTGACAGGTTATTAGTTAAGGTACCCTAAAAGAAAAAGTGTGTGTTGGGATCATACTATTTCCTGAGGCCTTTTTTTTTTTTGGCACTCTCTTGTGTTATTATTGGTGGGTAGTTAAAAACATACCATTACTTTTGTCTAACTCTGTTAGGAAAGTATGTTTTGGTATAGAAGATGATAGTTGAAACTGCTTGACTTGAGCTTGATTATTTTACTAGCCAAGTACTCTTTGTATGTATGATAAAAGATGCTGTGTAAACATTAATATTGTTAGACCATTACTCATTTGATGTTCTTCTCATCATGTATTTCTCAGTTTCATGCCTTTTCTGCTGAAGTTATTTTCTCTTTCCTTAATATGTTTGCTGGTGCCAAAGAAGGAATTTTTGGTTTGATAGGCTGAGTTTTTAGGATCGCTAAATGGATTAAATTGCCTGGGATTCTAATTTTACTTTAAAGAAATTATTTGAAAACAGAATTTGTGTTTTCATACTAAATTGAGGAAACTACACACTTGCCAGAAATAATCCAGATTCTTACTGAACTTAACCTCTGCTGTCCTCAACGGGTGCTATAAGGCAGCATATACATGAGACTGCTGTCAGTTTAGCTTTTGTGGGCTGCAGTGAGAGGACAGCAGCACCCTTTTACATATCCTTTGTATGTTCATGATGGTTGCTCAAATTTGGGACATTAGGAAATGTCATGAGTACTATTGACCTAAGTACAAAATCTCTTCAGGAGTTCTTGGAAAAATGTCACAGAGTTATTTAAACTCTTGCTCTGCTCACATTTCTGTGCCCTCTGACTCCTGAGAGATGATCTGGTTCAGGGCTTTTCTTAGGTACTGGTGGAGAAGTTCCTTAGGAGTAGCATAGTCACTGAACAAACATGCTGAGATACCAACACAGTAGCTGGGTAGTTGAGGTGGTGACGTCATGTAAAAGATACGATGCCTTGTTACCACCAGCCATAGTAGAGCCTTCTGCTGTTCCATTTACCAGACCTAATTTTTCTGTTTATTGGTGTTCTAGCAGTCGCAGAATAGGCAAGGTTGGAAGGGACTGCTAGAAGTCATCTTAGTCCTGCAAGCAGAGTCCCCGAGAGTGCATTACTCAGGATTGTGTCTAGATGACTCTTGAATATCTCCTGAGAAGGAGATTCCACAACTTCTCTGGGCAACCTGTCATCTTTGTTATTTGTCCCTGTTACTTTGAGACAGAAAAGGAATCATATTTGTGTCTTTTTGCCTCTTCTGCAGTGTAAAAGGAGCTCCAGTCAAACTGGACTCAGGGTATCTGTGTTTTAAAATAATGTCATCTGACATGACAGACGGAGCCCCATAGGGTACCCCCCCACCAGCAATACGCTTTTCATATGTGGATAAGATAACCATATTTCATGAGTCTCTGGAAAATGTCCCTGCCACCTCCTGCAGCAGAGAGCAAAGAGGTGAAAAAGCTTTGTGGAGAAGCAGTGCTAAGCAGGCAAGCCTTATTCAGTCATCTGTGTTCTTCCACTTGGGCTACATGTTAATTGAGTGTCTGGGCACTGAACTTACGCATGAAACCTGGGCTCAACTCTGTCAAACAGAGAAGAGTGCCTTGCAAAATCTCTGATTTTCTACAGATGAGAAGATAATTTTTATCCAGTGTTGTTGCTTTTTGGTGGCAAGGAAGCAGAACAAGCCTCTTGATGCTGGATGAAGAAAAATGCCTTTCAATGCTTTGGGCTAACATCCAGGAAGTCTCCAGAGTTCCCAGGGGGATGTGTGATAGGAAAAGTTGAAGAGGAGGGGAAACACAGAGATACAGGTGAAAAAATAGACCAAAGTGAGTAGAGAAAGACATGAGGACGAGAAAAATTCTAACTGAATGATCACAACATATAGAAGAAGGTACAAGGTATAAAGTAGTATATGACGTACCTTACACTTAAACTACTGTATTTGCAAGAGTATGTAAATGAAAATTAGAAGGAAATCTCATCTTTGAAGAAGAGAGATTGTGGGATGAAGACTAGAAAAGATACTTCTCTATGTCCAAAGTCTCAGATGAGTGCCAAGGGAACATTGGGGTGATATGAGAAGACATGAGGTGCTCCATCTGTCCAAACAGTGTTTAGGCTGTAGTGAAACTGTATTAAACTAACCTAAATAAATCAGGACCTTAAATTCTGCCAATCTACAAGTGACGCTTAACTCATAGTTTATATCTTCAATTTAAATTTTGAAAAACTTTTGACTTACACTAAAGTGAAGCATTATGTACAGTGGAAGACAGGGAGCACTTCAGCAAACTGGCATTCACATATTGTGGCAGCAGGTGTCACACCTCTGAGGGTGCTGAGGTAGTTGACTGATGTCACTGTGAGGCTTCTTGCTCATTTTGGAGAGGTCATAGTGATTGAGAAAGTTTCATGATGACTGGAAAAGGTAAAACAGTATGCCCACTATCAAGAAGGACAATAATGGAGCACCTGGGGAATTGCAGGCTGGCATGCCTGATACAAGTCTTTAGGAAGACTGTGGAGAAAACCCTCCGGGAAGTCATTTCCAAGCAAATAAAGGACAAAGATGGAGTTATGAACAGCTGAGATGGATTTGCCAGGTGTGAACCATACATGACTGATTACCTTCTGTTGTGATTCTGTAAACGAGGGGAGAGCAGTGGATGTCATTCATCTCTACTTCAGCAAAGCTTTCTGTACAGTTTGTGTAGTGTCCTTTCAGCCAAACTGGTGAGATGTGCTTTGGATAGGTGGATGAAAAATTGACTGGGCTGCCAGGCAGTGCAAGGTCCATCTGGCAGCTGGTAGCTCGTGGCATTTCTTAGAGGCCAAGGCTAGAGCTGATGCTGTTTTACACTTTGCTGTCGGATGGGACGATGGGACAGAACACACTGTCAAGCCAGTTTGTGGGCAGCATCTCATGGGGAGGGGTAGACTGTACTCTGGAAGGCAGAACTGATCTTCATATGTACTTGCCCATGCTAAGGGAACCGAATGACAGGAGCCCCGTGGGATTCAAAGGTGAATGGAGAGTCCCTCCCTGCCTCGGGCAGACCGGAGCCCTGCAGCAGCCTCGGAGGGAAGCTGGCTGCCTGGAAAGGAATTTAGCATGAAAGGCCCTAGAACTCTGGCAGGCGGAGAGCTGAGTGTGGACCAGCAGTGTGCTCTTGTGGTGAAAGATGACAACTGCATAGGGATCCTGTCGGCAGGACTGCAGGCAGCAGGCAGAGAGGAGGGATTCGCTGCTTTGGGATATTTCAGAGACTACATCTGGAGAATTGTGTTCACTTTTGAGCTGCGCAGTACAAGGAAGGCACTGCTATACTGGAGCAGGCTGGCTGACTGTCCACCAAAAACAATGAAGGTGCTGGAATGCAAGGTGTAAGCAAAAAAAATGATATGGAAACCAGAAAATGTTTTTTTCTGCCAAAAGAAGAGAAAGCTTGTGGGAGATGGTCTTACTGTCTTCATGTACCTGACAGGCAGCTGTAGGGAGGGCACAGCCAGGCTTTTCTGAGGTGCAGTGGAAGGAGAAGTGACGAATAACTGGCTGGAGCATAAGAAATTCCTCCTTGATGGAAGGAAAAAAATCTTCACATTGAAGCTGATGGAACCCTGGAGGAGCAGGAGGCTGAACTAGAGACCTCCTGGGGTCCCTTTTAGCTTGAGTTACTTAAGGATTGGCAGGTTTGACAAGAAGTGATAGGGTATTGGTACAGCATTACAGAGAGCAGTGGGTCATTTCAAGTAATGAAGGCAAGTATGGTATAAACAATTTCCTTAATTTTTAAATTAATCAGGCTTTTTGCCCATGCCGCTTGTTTTGAATCACTGTTTTAGAGCCTCCCTCCTGTGTTGACTATAAACTATTTTTTTTTTTAAATAAAATTTCTGGTGTGGGGTTTTTTTTTATGTGGGTTTTTGTTTGTTTGTTTGTTTGTTTGTTTTTCTTTTCTTCCCCCCCCGTTTCCAGTATATGCTGATTTGTTCTTCAGTGTAAAATTTCCTTCTCTCTCATTTACACTTTGCTGATAGGTTATAAAGTTGTGCTTGTTGCATAACAAGTTTTTCTTGAGCTGTTTAATTCAGCCTGCAGATTTGAGTGTGAGGTGCATTTTAAATCATTTAGTGCGAGCTGATTTTTTTAAGAATTTCTAGTTGTCAGAAGCTGCATGTTTTCAGGGGCTTCAGAATTAGAAATATATGTATAATACAGCTGCTTCTTTAACTCTGCACACTGAGAATACAGAGAAGCTTTTGTGTAGATATTTTTTTCAATGTGATTGTCTTTTTAGAGATGCATCTTACATGTTGCAAACATTCATACCTCTCCTATTTCTATGACTGCAGTAATTAAATGATAATTAGCACCATCTCTGAGACCTTGGCTCTAATTTAATGCAGTGTATCTTCACAGGTGGAGAGGTTCTAATTTTAACTCCAGGACATTTCTGCTTGATGCAAGAGCTTTTGATAGCCAGGATTTAAAACAAAGAGCCAGGCAATCTTTTTTTACTCTTGGCTTTATCTGCAGCTGGCTGCTTGTGTTACCTTACATGTCTTTCTAGAAAATGTTCCCTGGAAGAAATAAGACTGTTTCCCTCTGTATTTTTGGGTCATTCCACCAAATTTACAGTCGTGTTATAACAACTGAGATTATTTGAGATATGCTGGTATATAATTTTTTTTGGAGGAGGTGATTGGGGGTTTCTCCTGGTAAAAGGTGCTGTCTCTGATCTATATTTATACAGTCCTTAACACAGAGAGGTTCTGATTCATGATTACAGCTTTTACATCATGTTAGCTCTGAGACAGCTGGGACACAGCTAACATATTCTTTTTGCTAGATTTAATTTTATTGAGTTAGGTAGTTTGTTAAGGCAAACTGATTAAAAAACAAAATTTTTAAATTTTTTTTGTAAATGAGAAGGCAACCTGAAGTGGCAACTTTAATATTAGGCTCCAAGAAGAACTTCTGTAAGATGAAACCTTGGTAGCAGTTTATCATCTTTAGTTTTTGTACCCTCCTTGGCTTATTAATGAGAAGAGCAACATATCTGGAGGCTACTTTTTGGAGAAAGCTCTGAAGAGCCATTTCTGCCTTCCTGAAATACAAATATCTAACATATGCTGAGGTTAACATACCCTGCCTTTTCTGAGTAATACAATATCAGTGTTACTGTATAAATATATGAATAAAATTTTCATTCCAAAATAGGCAGACTTCCAAGATGTTGTATGGAAATGTCTTTGTTACCAACCTACATATACTACAGACCAACAAATTAACAGCTTTTGAGATTTCACTGACTTGCTTCTGACTTATCACGTAGCTAACAGTCATATGGCTTCTGCAGTGTCAAGGACAAATAATTTGTACACCTCTGAGTGTTATGCTGAAAAAAGAGGATCTTGTCAGGCCAAGGGGACAGTCTAAATGCTGTGCTAATGGAGACACTCTGCACTTGAGCCACCATGCATCTTTCAGAGAAGCAGTGTGTGAGGGCTGAAAAATGCTGCCGTTTTCTGATTGTTTCTTTGCTGCTTCTCTCTTCTTGAAAATTACAGGGATGTGTTTAAGTGTCTGTGCCCAGTGGTGTTTTTGGAAGGGTTACTGGCAAGCCCTGTGTGGGCTCTAGGTCGTCACCAAGGATTTTGCTATGGGCTGTGTGAATGGCTGTTGCTGAGCCGCTGGGTGGCATCACAGCATCATTTTGAGGTTTAGGAGTAATTTGTTATTCAGGAACATCAGAAAGATGTCGGCTACCCAAACAAGAAAAATAAGCAAAATAACTCAGATAATTTAGTAACAAAAATATTAGCTGTGCTATTGAAGCATTTATCTTCCACTTTATATTAATTTAATTAATGCTTGCTTGTATCTTTGATGTTAGTACTTCATGTTTTTCCATTCATGCAAAACTGATAACACTGATTAAATCAAATGCAGAGTACACTTACCCATGCTCATAAACAATGCCACTCTTAACACTGGAAAAAACCCCATGATTCTGTTTCTTAATGCTTACCTATAATTACTGTAATACTTAATATTCTACAAAGGGAAACCTTTATCAGACTTCAGATGAAAAGAGGCAAAGATGCCGCTGGAAGGCTTTTTGCTTTCGAGTGGACTGGAGATAATGTTCATAATATACATTTCAACAGAATCTGTGTGTGTGTTTTTCAATGTGTATCATCCCAGTACTCATATGAAGTTATAACAATCCTGCTGTTAGGGGAGCTAAGATACAGAAAGGCTAACGTGATTTATACATGGATGCTCAGGAGATCCTTATGCAGAGAATTGAATCTAAGTATCCTAACTTGTATATTTTTGTATGTGGACCACAAAAAAAAATAATTTGGGAAGGTTTATATTAATTTTGCCTATTGTATGATCACCCCTGTGAATTAATGGTACTCTTGAAGCTCTTTTGAAGGTTGTATGTATTTCAAAGGTAGAGTTTCCATTTGAGAGTAATCCTATTCTTGATAAAAAAGGTATTCTACAAGATAGTTGGGTTATTTTGTCCCTTTCTTTCCCCAACTCCCCTTTTAATTTCAGTTCCATTTTAAAACTGTGTATATGGTCTTTTTTATCTTGTGTTTTCCAGAACAGTTTAATTGGGATGACTATCTGAAAGAGACTGAATCAGTAGCTGCCCCTCTACATTGTTTCAGACAGGTATGCCAGATACTGTTTTGCAAGTGTGTGTGTATGTATACATGTTACAGGGTGATCCTGGAGCAACTTTTATGATTAGACTTCCTATTTGACTCCTTTTGATCTCTAGTTATCAGTAGCTTACAGTTTGGGCAGATGAGAGCTACGGAAGTTTTTCATTCTTGGTTTCCGCCTCAAGCCAAACTTTAAGGATTTCATTAAAATTGTATCTTTGGACTCTGTTTTTCTTTAAAAAAAAAAAAGACTAGTTAATGAAAACAGATGGTCTTATCAGAGTTAAAAAATATTTTCCACCTTTTTCGGTAATCTTAGAGGTACCATGGTTTTAGTGAGAATTATAAATATTGCTGATTGTCAGAGGAGCCTTTCCTCTGCCTCATTTCTGAAAGATTCCTTTCAATTCTGTCTAGCTACAAGATGTGTGTTTAGCAGAGTTTAGTCACCACTTCTTTCCTGGATCTCTCAAATATGTTTAATTTTGTCTCTTTCTGAGCAGAGCACTTTTTACTAAGGAGTAACACATACTGAAGTTTAAAAAAAAATCAAGGGAATATATGGGAATACAAAGGAAATACTGGATTTATAACAAAGGGTGTTTAATGTACTATTTTATATTTTACACTGTAGCCTACAAGTCTGATTCCCCCCCCCCCCCGATGGTTTGGTATGTATTTGCAGGTGCAGTTTAAGTATACCATGTGTGTAAGCTGATGACCTCCAGTTATTCAGCCCTCTGGAGGCTGAGTCGATTTCTGCAGGCATCTTTCTCTCTGTGTAGGGAGTCAAGGCTGGTGTTTTCCCAAGCTGAGGAGTATCTTGTCTGTGTAATAGGATGTGGTTTGGTCTGTATGCCCTCGTTGTCTTAGGAAGATAGTCGCTGAAGGAATTGGATAGTTCAGGTTGATAGAAGTGTAATAGGTGTGACAAGCAATGCATGTCTAGTTTAGTGGCTTGGGCACGTTCTGAAAGTGTCTTCTAGGGTGTGTTGGTAGTCAGTTGTGCTGTACATGATACTGGCCTGCAGTGGGAGACCAAATAAAAAGCAACATGAATGGATTAGTCTGAGGAGGGGAGGAACCGTCACTCAGTGAGTCTGAAGTAGTTGCAGTAGTGGAGAATAAGGAGAGAGAAACACAGGTGGTAGCATTTCCTCGTGCTAAATCTTGGATTTCAGCTTGCTCCTTGCAGGTGAGGATAAAGGGCAAAGAGCCCCTTGCATGCTTCTTTCAGTGAGACATGGCTAAGAGGAGTGGTGTCAATAACTTTGTGTGAGTGGGGCTTCAGAAATTAATGTCACAGTATGTGTTTTACACAGTGGATACCAACTCAAGGCAGAGACCTCAAACTCTGCTTGGATAGAGGCAGAGGGTAGTAGCATATCCCTGGATCATCCTGAGGTTAATGCCATACTCACAGACCATAAACCACAGTGTATGCTCCTAAGAAATGTAGCTACTGCAGGAAGCTGCTCAGAAACCTTTCTGTGTGCCTTTCTTGCATCTTCCTCTTCCCTAATGATGTTCAAGAAGTCCAAACTGAAGAACCAAATAACACCTTATATAGAGATGCTTAGGTGACCATGCACTGACCGAGGTGAATCGAAGTGGCCTGGATTGCTTAAGGAGTGTGTGGGTTGGAAAGATGAGCTTTAATTTATGTGCATAGCAAAATTCAAAACAATTTACATATGCAGATTTTCAGTTTTTCTAAGAGTCGACCTTTAAGTAGAAAGTGATATGCAATGTTGATCAGTGCATAGCTCGATCCTCTCTCTACATAATGTTTGCAGATTTTAAACCTAAAGTGCTTGTGCTTTATGTAGGACTAATTTGATTTTTATTGGATTACGCATGAATTTTACGTGTCATTATCTATATAACGCAAATAAATACACTGCTGTGGCCAGCCAGAAAATAAAGAGCAGAGAGAAACTTAATTTGACATTTATATCCAGAATTTGTGACTTGTGGGAATTCTAAAAGTTTAAATTTTATAGTAATTAAAAATGACCTGGGGAACAATAAATTAAAGCCTCTACCATAATTTAAGATACAGGCACAGACAGCTAATGGAAATTGATTAAAGTATTTATCTTAATTTAGAAGGTATTTTATCTGTTGCTTTAAGTTGTTTTTAATTACTACTTAAAATTTCAGTGCATTTCACATCCCATTCTCTTGCCCTGAAACTTTTTTTGAAGCAGTTGAAAATTTTAAATGTAAAAGCTCAGTCCCTTGTGATTTGAGCAGAACTTTAAACAAGGCTGTTACTGAGTGGGGTTTTGTTATTTTTCTGTAAGGGCAAACTAGCATGGAAGAGTTACCTTTTTAGTAGAATGCCTTGAGTTATTGGTATTTAAACAAGCTCACCTTTTCCACAAATAAATAAACAAACTCCCCAATTTCTCAATTTCTGTTGCTTTTCCTGGTAGTAGAAAATAACAGCTTGACAAGCAATATCCTGAAATTGAATTGCCCTTTAAATTTAATATGCTCAGGCTCCCCTTTCAGACAGCCTGCTGTCTGAGTGCAGCAGATGCTGCACTCAGCATTCACTGAATGTTGCTTGCCACTGGTTTTTGAACTTGGGCTCCTCCAGGGCTCCTGCTGTCGATCTAGGGTGTGTTGTAAATAGTGCACCTGCACAACACAGCAAGTAGAGGAAGGTGTATTTCAAACATTCAAATGTGATGGAGAAAAAATATCACTAATACTTGTTGCAGGAGCAGGTTTGTTCAGTCTTTTCCTGTGTCCCCAGACAGATAAGCGCACCTGTATCTGCTTACTATGGGATCCCTGCCTGACCTGCTCAGGTGGGCAGGAGAAGGGGACATAGGAATCCTGTGAGTGTGAATGCCCATGGTTTTGGGTATTCTACCTTCCTCCTGTATTAGAAGTCAGGTTATGTTAGTCTGTATGGGATAGCTACTGGGTTTAAATGTCGTGGAAAAGGCTGCTTACATTGGTGTCTGCATTCAAAAACAACTTTGTACTGAAGGATTGCAGAAAAGAGCTTTCAGCGTGATAGGAGAATAGTCATCATCTCCTAAGAGAAACTTAAGTGCTTGACTTACTTATCTCATTGAAAGGGTGCTGAGAAAAGGTCGGGTTGCTCTCTGTAAATACACTGTAGATTTTGTTGTTATTTGCAAAAGTGCAAATAGAATTTAAATTATAGTGTTGGGAAAAATTCCATTCATAAATTTAGGAGACATCTAAAGAGAATAGTGAGAAGCATTCAATTCCTGTTAGTGTTAATACAGAGTTTTGAACATTGTTAGGTGATGTCATTGCCTACAATTCCACAGAAGGCAAATAATCAGACTGTGATCCAGTCAATCTCTGCCAGTAGTGTTGATACATGAGTAAAAACTATTCTTTTTTGTTCATCTTTAGCGTGTGACAAAAAGTTCTGCACAAAGACCAAGTTGCATTTGTCACATTTTTTCCCCTGTGCTAATTAAATTGGCATTTCATTGTATGTTATTGATTATATTCAGTTCTCTAGGAATAAGCACAAGCTGCAGTTTTTGTCTTAGTATAGAAGTTTTATATGACTTTAGAACTGTTTTTTCTTTCTGTAAAATGTTAGCACTAACTCCTTTTTCTGTCTTCTTTCTTTGTATTGTAAGCTTTTTTTGATGCAGAAACTCTTACCTTGAGCTTTTGTAGTGCCTAGGACAGTAGGGTCCAAATTTTCATTATATTTCCAAAATAATATTACAGTGAGGATAACTATTTCTTTTTAATTGAAAGATAATAAACCTTGTTGGTGGGGGGTTTTTTTGTGTGTGTGTTGGTTTGTGTTTTGGGTTTTGGGTTTTTTTTGAGTTGAATGTCATGTTTCCCAATGTCCTTGTTTTCCATTCACTTAAAGTATTAGTCACAGCTCCCCGTCTTTATGTTCATATCTTCATCAGATATTACCCTTCTTAGTGGGCTTATCAGTCATGTTTATGCAGTTGGTAGGTTATCCAGCTGCCTTTTGTGACTTGCTGCTAAACACTTGAAGTTCAAAAGTTTCTTCGTATTTATCACTTATATGATACATTTGGATGGATGAAAGCTGTATACTGAACTGACTGGTAAATTTAACAATGCTAACATCAATAAGAAAAAGTCTTTTACCTTTTACTGTAGTCTAGAATTCCACCTACGAACGATTTCAAAGTTGGTATGAAACTGGAAGCCCGTGATCCTCGCAATGTTACCTCAGTTTGTATAGCTACAGTCATTGGAATCACTGGTGCCAGGCTAAGGTTGCGGCTGGATGGAAGTGACAACAAAAATGACTTTTGGAGGCTTGTGGATTCCTCAGACATACAGCCCATCGGGACCTGTGAAAAGAAAGGGGGCATGCTCCAGCCTCCACTGGGTAAGAAACAAAGCTTCTGAACGAATGTGTGTGGAGGATTGTGGAGGATTGCTTTCATGACATTGAATTTACCTTTTTGCTTGACTATTCAATAGTCACCAAACCATTATTTAATTGAAAAAGAGGTAAGCAAACTACTTCAGGCTAGTTGAATTGTGACTTTTTCTTATTTTTTGATTCTTCTGATATAAGAATGAACATTTTTGTTGTTTTTTGGGGGGGGATTTTGTTGGTTGGTTGTTGTTTTTTTTTTAATAGTCCCTTAATATTAAATGGGAGTGTCTGACAACTTTCCCAATGATAAGATACAGAGCCATGTGCCCATTCTGTAAATATTCCCTCACATGTAACCTGCCTTACAAGTGTACAGTGTTTTGTTGCACGATGCCATGTGTGCTCGTGTTGGGAGCCCTTGGAAAGAGCTGGGGGAACTTGCCCCTATATTCTTCTTCATCAGTGCATCCGATCAGCCGAGGAGCGGGCACTGGCTGCTACCAGCCCGGGAAGCCTCGGCAGGGCTGCTGGAGGCACGTCCCTGCAGGGCAATTGGAATATTTCCTCAGGCACTGAGTGAATTGGTTGTGTTCTGGGAAAGGCAGCACAGGATTGGTTTAGTGTGGAATTGCAACGTTCTGCTCTGAGGTAGGAAAAGTAGCACTCCAGAGCTCTAGCAAACTGCAGTCTTGTATTGCATGTCATTCTCATCGCCTCAAATGGACACACGTCCTGGGGAGTCAGATCAGTTTGTCATAGCTAGTTTGTGAGCGCAACAAAATGCTTGTGAGGAAGGTGTAGCTTTCTTATGCTTAGAAATAGCATGCAGAATTTCTTTTGCCTGCCATGAGCAATATGGGTAACAACACAATGTGTTTCCCCAAATGGAGAAATAGGGCTTGGGCTTAGTCTTATTGAGGGAGTTTATTAAATAGGGAACTGTACAAAGGAATTCCTCACTAGCTGATGAAGAGTCGAAGTTAACTTTGAATAAACTACTAGGAGTAGTAAAGCGTGGCATTGCCTTTCTTTACTGTGATTAACCTGTATGTTTAGATCTGCATTCTTGTACTGTATTTGTTATAGCTTAAACTTCTACATGTGGAAGTCTTTAAAGATTTCACATTGGTCTGAAAATAGTTTTGCTTTTAAGAAGGAGGAAAATTAATGGCCAAAATTTACCTGAACACTCTCTCACCTGTTACCCCGTTCTGTAATTTTTAGAAGATGTGAGAAATAATGATCTTAATATAAGACATTAACTGCGTGCAGAAATGAGTGGCTGATGGATTCCATCTTATAGTTATGAACCTACTTCTGGTTTGGTGTCATCAGTAATTCTTACAGATTTCTCATCAGATGTTTAGTGAGGATAGGCATTATTTCTCTTAGTAGCCTCTCAGAAACTTGTCATCCCAGTTTATTAGCAACTTCCAGTTCTTCTGTTTGAAAAACAAAGTGAAAAGTCTCATTTCACTACAGCATGAAACTTGATTTGCCTGTAGAGAGACAGACAGAGGAGCAGTTGACATAGCCATTAAGATACTTCACAGAGATTATAGGGGTAGATTTTTGTGCTGTTGTGTTCCTTCGGGAACACAAGAAAAGCAATGCAATCAGGGTACCAGTCTAGAAAAATATTATTAGGATAGATACAGTTTAAGCCCAGAAGGGCTTTTTTTCCCCCTTCTTTCCTGTGGATATATAGAGGTTTTGAATGAAAACACTGAAAATTCTTGATGTTGGGGGAAAAGATTTTTTTTTTTGAGGAGTTTCTCAGTTTAACCTCTCTAAAGGTCTTGATATAACCTTGTAGAATGAATGAAGTGATACCAGTATGGAAAAGGGAAGAGTACACCAGTTCCTTCAGCTGCACATATGTACAGTGTTAAATATATGGCTTCAGGAACATGGCGCTTTTTAAAATGTGTTTCTGAACCAGTCTGATGAATAAAACAACTCCAGTTATGTATAATGGGGGCAGTCAATTCGTTAAGAAGTGAAAGTTTCCACAGTCATCAGTAGAAAGGTTGATGCCTTCTCAGATACTGTTTCTTACTCCTATTTGATCAGGCTGTTTGTGCAGCACCTCACAAGTGGTTGTTTTCCTGCACGCAGGCATGTAAGCTTACCTGCCCACTGAACAATTGCTGGTTATTCAGAAAAGAATGTGAGTGCTATTATTTTGTTCCTCCTGCCCTAGATTTTTCTAGAGATAGGCTGAATTCCAGCAATCAAACATTCTGGCATACCTAGATAAATTTTTGAAAAAGCCTTTTTGGCACTTGTTCAGCATCCTGTTCCTGGGCAAAGCTGGGAGCTAATTGGGTGTATAATTACCTCCTGTTAGACATTTAAGCAACTGATTTTTTTTTTTTCTGAGTAGTAGGGAACCTTCTGGATACTAATGTTCTGCTTCTATCATAATAACTAGATAAAACAGTTCCTCCTACCTGATTTTTACATGGGTTTAATTATGCTTGTTACATAAAGTTTTTGAGAAAGTGATTATTGTAACAAAGGGCTCCTTTTCCAGCCTCTCTTTTCCATAGGTGAGCGTTTTGTTGTTGAGATCTTAATGTTCTGAACAAATTATAATGCAGATAGCATTTTCTTTGGTTTTACCAGGACAACTTTAAGGCCAAATGAAATTAATTGAAACTTTTGTTTAGTTGTCATTCCTCTGTCTTGCTTGTATCTGTTTTCTGGCAAGCTAGCTGGGAATATTGCGTTTCAGTAACCACACACGTTTAGGTTGTATAAAGACTCTGGTATGAAACCAGGCCTAAAAATCAGCTCAGCAGTCTTCAAATTATGACACCATTTATCACATACAAGCTTTATGTTAATTTGAGTGTTGCATAGGTGGTTCCAACGTGAAAACTGTTTATTCAATGAAAGATAGCTTAAAGCTATGGGCTAAAGAACCATTATAGCATATAATCCAATTTTAGATTTAACTTATCAAGAATTTAACTTATCAAGAATTGCAGATATGTTCTGCCTTTCGATTTAGTTTTTTAGGAGAATTGTTGAGGCTCAGCTGTGAGGGAACTTAGTTCCTGGCAGATTCTGGTACTATTTGCTTTATGGAAAAAATTCCAATTTGCTCTGTTATGTCTATTATTCTGTAGAACTATGCCAGACATATAACTGCTAAAGATACAGGAAAAAAATGTCCACTATGTCTGTTATCTTACTCATTACTTTAAAACATTTATTTGAAAAGCACAGAAAGCAGAAGGATTTTTTGGGGGGTTTTTGTTTGTCTTTTTAACTGAAAAGTAGTTGATTATGAGGAAGGATTATCTGGAATGAGAATGTTTTCAGCCAAACCTTTGTTCTGCTTAATAAGGTTGTTCATCTGAACATACTTGATTGTTGTTTGTGCTTGTTAATGAAGAATAATAAAGTAGAAAGATCTTCTGATTTATGTTTTCCAATATGATACACATACTTATTAAAATAATTGTATTTTTTCTTCACTCTTAGGCATTCTTTGGTTTTTATGGCTATTTATGTATTTATTTTAATGGGGGAGGGAGAAGAAACCAATTGTTCTTTTTTTTTTGTCTGTGGTCTGGTAAAAGAATGACAAGATTCTCAAAAATAAAAAGGTGTCTCCTCAATAAATGAGTTGGAACAGAGGATGTTGTTTTAGAATGAGAGGAAAAAAGCAGACCTGAAGAGAAAGCGAAGATGCTTGGGCTGGGGAAGTTCCATTGGCCAGGAACTGTGTGGGACAACCTTATGAACTACTGTGCTAGAACTTGCATGGCCTTAAATCCTAGAAGTTTATCTATGATATCCCTTCGTATGATGAGCGATTCTGCAGGCAAGTGACTCAGAGTGAAAATGCACTGCACAGCTTTCTGTACCAAAAGTGACCGTGTTCATTCCTCCTTGGCTGCTTTTATTTTGGCCAAGTCTAAAATAGAGGGAATGAGGCATTAGTAAAACAGACATTATATCCTTCTCCTCCTATTGTGTTTTACAAACTGAAAGTAGGGCTGTTTATTTGTTTGTTACTCAGGGTTCCAGATGAATGCATCATCTTGGCCAACGTTTCTCTTAAGAACTCTCAATGGAGCTGAAATGGCACCTGCAGCATTCTTTAGGAAGGTAAGAAGAAAAGCATTTCTAGTAAACAACTTCCTATCAGTTGGTCCATGGTTACATTTTTTAGTGAGAATGCCAAGATATTACCCTGTTTTCTACAGCACAGACAGGGAAGACAAGACTATTATTTAAAATTACTTTGGACTGGATTGACAAGCTACAGAGCTAGACAGAAAACATTCCACTGCTAGTCCATTGAGATGGGCATTTCTTTTCCATCTTTTCTACTTTGAGCTGAGACTGAGATGTGTTATTTAGAAATATTGCTTTTGCTCATTTTTTGTCTCACATTTTAGATACAATGCATATCACGTTTCTTAGCAGCACTGTACTTGTGATTGTGCACAGGAGTTAAAAAAAAATAATGGGGAATGAGAGCTGTTGAAATACAGTGGTACTTGGAAGGGTTTTGTTAAACATTTTCCTTGGGCACATATCATTTAAAATGTAACGAGAAGTAGTTGAAAATAGCAGTTTTTTAAACATGACTCTTGAGTAAGTTACCGTGAAACAGGAAAAACTATATAAAAACAACAGCAATATCAAAATGACTTGTTGGTTCAATTTTTTGTTGAGGTGATAAAACCCTGCTGTCACATTGAGTGTCTTCATTTTGGATTCTGAGAGTGATATTGACAACTATGGCAGCAAATCAAACAGTTGAGTTCGGACCTGCAATCACATCACTTGGTGTTAACTTGGTGTTAACTTCATATAATTATAATTTGTTTAGATAAGATTATATAAATTTTCTGAGGTGTGATGAGCCATGCTTCTCTGGGCTAACACATCTGAGATGGGTTTGAATAATAAGGTTCTTGAGGTGGCAATTGGTGTTCCACTGGATCACAGCTCCTGCTGTGGAGGTACACATATGCTGGTCGCATAGGCTTGATTTTTGTTTTTCTTTTGTCCACTTGGAATTGGTCTAAGGCCAACTAAGTTAGCAGATGCCTATAAATAATGTCCAATGCTAATGAATTTTTCATGGATTAACTGAGAGGTAAAGCTTTTACCAGACAATTATCAGTCCCCAGAAATATCCATGCTCTGCAAACATCCTATTCTTTATTAGCATGTAATAATTTCATTTTAGTGTCTTTGCTGTCTTGCTGCCCAGACATAATGTATTGGGTGCAAACAATTGCTTATGTAAATACTTCTAGCAGGGTCTTTCTGTCATGGAGAATTTTGCTAATTATTCCAGCTATGTCTATGGGAATAGAATCTAGATTTTTGTAATACAGAATAGCAAAGACAAAATTGCAATATGTATCAGTTTCTTTGAATGTCTGCTATAACTTTTTGAAAATAGTGAGTATAAGTAGTAAGGATGTTGAGGAAAAATAAAGGGTTGTTGTTTTCTCTTTTTTTCTTATTTTAAGAGGCCATGGGAATACAGATATTCTGCCACTCTTATTTTTGTAGGAACCGCCAAAACCTGTGCCAAACTGCTTTAAAGTTGGAATGAAACTTGAAGCTATAGACAGAAAGAACCCATACTTGATTTGCCCAGCAACCATTGGAGATGTTAAAGGAGATGAAGTTTTTGTTACATTTGATGGCTGGAGAGGAGCATTTGACTATTGGTGCAGATGTGATTCTCGAGATATTTTCCCAGTTGGATGGTGTAGCTTGACAGGAGATGCATTACAACCACCAGGGAACGATGGTAAGATGACTAATAATATTGCTTAATTATTTTTCTCCTCAATTACAGCAGGATTTTAAAAACCAGCTGGCTGTATGCAGATAACACTGAAGATTTGATTTGTGAGTAGCTGACGAGCATGAAATGTTGTTGAATTTTCTTTATGTAGTTTAAAGCTAATAGGAATTACTGGGAAACAATTTTTGCCTGTTCATAGTAAATCGGGAACATGTTTTATGTAATACTATCAAGAGGACTTCTGATGATCTCTAATTTTTGTGTGCTTGTGAAAAATCTTGGATTTAGACTAGATTTGCTGTTTGTGTTATTGATAAACACTCTGGTTTGATGATACTAATATATTGGCTTCCACAGCACTTTATATTAAACTAACTGCTAAGAAAGTAAAGTAGTCTCTGCTTCTGTAATGATTTAAGGTCTAAACTACGTATTTATAGTTTCTTCCTTCGTACTTAAAAAATTCTGTCTTGAAGCTGCCTATTCTGAATGCTTTGTCATCCTCTTGCCTTTAAGGATGTTTGTCAATTGGGTCATAATGTCCCTTTAACGAATGGCCACTGTGCTTTATAACATACAACTGTCTGCCTTTGAAAGGAGGGAGATGGCATCAAGAGGGATATCCCTGAATATAATCCCTTTGCTACTCTGGAGACCATTTGTCAGGTTTCTGTAGTGTAAGGCTTTTCTGTCAAACTGTTTGAGCTTTTTCTATCCTCATCCCATAAAATTTGTCAGGAAGAGAGATTTTTAAGAGGGGAAACATATTTTAATTAATTACTTTAATATCATTAACCAGAAAAATTTGTTTTCAGTGAGAATTTTCACAACTGCTGTTAGGTGAGTAAGAAACAAGTACACTGGTGTCACAGAACTCCCACTGGAAGTACCAAAGGAGTAGAAGTAGGAAGGCAAGAAATCAGTCGTGTTTTCTGCCCTTTCCATCCCCATTGTTCTTCTCAGTCTTTTGCCAGCAGATCAAGAACTCTATGGACAATCTAACTGGAATAAGTTAAGGGCACCTCTGCATCCTTGCCCTCACCTGCCTGTCTGTAGTTACTGCCAGTGTTCACAGTACCTGGAGCCGAGTTTAGTCCGTTTTGGTGGATTTCAGCACGGGAGCAACTCTGTGTGTAGCTGTACTGTCCAGGATGATCTGCTGGTGCAAACCTGCAGTGAGAGGGAAAGGCAAAGTCAGGTGAAGATGATGTACATTTGATCAGAAGTCATCTAATAGGTACCAAGCTGACCTCAGTCTTAATGTTGCAGTGCTCCCAGTCTCTGAAGTGTCTTTCTCAGCTTCTTCAGAGGGTTGACCTTGTCTTGAGAGATCATGAATGAATTGTCTTATTATGATAAGTTAATTATTTCTTTAACGTGTGGGTGACTATGCACTAACTAGAACAGATTGCCCAGAGAGGTTGTAGAGTCTCCCTCACTGGAGATGTTCAAGAGCCATCCTGTGCTGTGTGCTCTGGGATGACCCTGCTTGAGCAGGGAACTTGGACCAGATGACCCACTGTGGTTCCTTCCAGCCTTACCCATTCTGTGGTGTACAAAAGGGGCTGTGTAAATAAGTGGCACAGAATTTTTAGAAGGTATTTTTGTGACAGTTCAGATTTCTCAGTCCAATTTCATCTTCTGGAAAGAAGTATTATTAAATTGTTTAGTCTACTCCAATTTCACTGCTGAAAAGCCAGCAATACTTTGAGGTAATATGTATAGAATTTTTCTTGCCTGATTAGTGCTTGATAGAGCTCAAAGAATTGTTCGACAATTAGTAAAGCTGATTGTGTAATCCAGTTGTTCAGGTAATAAACCAAACAAAATTCTTGAGTATGTTCAAATTTGCTGAAGACTTGAAATACCTACCCAGGTAGGATACTATTGCTTTGTTATGGAAAACAAAAACACTTTAGGCATAAATAAAACCTGAAGTAAGATTCTTACAGACTTGTAGTCAAAACTGAGAAATTTGGACATGTGATAGAAACTGAGTGCAGAGAGGTGCAGGCTGGAGATTTTGTATTTTTGATTATAAAAGTGAGTACAAAGTTAACTGCAGTTTTACTGAAATTGTGTGCTCCTTTTTTCACCAATCTGAGCATAAATAATTTGCTATTTCTATTTTGCTTTGTGTGCTTATTTTTTGTGCTGTTTGTGGATGTTATGCAGACTTGTCGATTTTACATAGCTAGATGAAATATTTTTTGTTCTCAGGTTATGTTTTTCGCTGTTATTTGATTGCTTTTGAGCCATTGAAGAACTGTAATGATAGTCCTCTACTGAGATGTAAGTAATAGCTTCAAGAAGAGTGTAATCAAGTCATTTCAATTCAGTAATATGATAATGTTGTCAGGATTCTTCATTAAGTCACATTAATATTGACTACTCCTGTTAAGGAAGAAAGTATGACAGATACTATATTGCAGGGATTCACTTGGAATATTGCAGTATTATTCTGGTCTGGAATTTTTTCCTGCAGGTTACTTTAGTATTTCTACCTTAAATTTCCTTAATAGAAAGTGAAAAATAATTGACTGAGTGTGGCTTAAATGTCAGAGTGAATATGAGAAATATTCTTGATTTTTGTAACTACCTTTCCTGAAAGCATTTAAGTGTATTAAATCACTACTTAAAGAGCTTAAAAAATTACAAAAGCCTCAGATTTTAGGGAACAAGCAAAGCCAATATCCTGCAATCTAAGTATGAATGTGATAAAGAATGTTTTAAATTTCATCCATACCTAGGACAACAATTTCCCACCATGAGATATATTTTGGGGGTCTAATTTAACCCTTAGAAAGAGAGATGAAATGCAGCAAGAAGGACAATATGAAAATTAGGAAAGATTTTATTTTAACCGGTTACTGTCTTAGCCTTTTAGGATGCCCAGAGAGAATGTAGGACGTCTGCCATGGGAGGTGTTTAGACACCAGCTTCTTGGATGTGGATGAGTTTATTCAGACCAGATTACGTGGTATATTTATTCTTCATAGCTGTATCTTCTGTAACTCTCATTGGTATTAGACAGAGAAGCTCATGAACTAAGACACACTTAGTAGAAGATAATGTAGAGAAGTTGTTTTAGACCAACTCTTGATAGCATTCAGGCCTTAATCTTTGTGTTTGTGTTTTGTCTTTGGTCCTTACCAGAAGACATGACTTAAGTGGACCTGGCTGGATGTCAGGATATGTGTACAGTGGTATAAAATGTAGCATTCAGTATTTATACTGTTAGAAGCTGTGCTTAGCTAATGTTGTAGTTTGTTTCACTAGACATATCTCCGATAGTAGTAATTTGTTGTATATGGTTTCATTCACTGCTTGATGTTGGCTTGACCTACTGCCTCAAGGTTAATATAAGGATGCAGTAGATTATTTTTTCTGTGTCTCTTGATCACTTATGTGCTTTTAGAGATGACTCGTCACCCATAAATATTGTTGTAAACTATAGCAGGTGAAAGAGTTTGACATGATAATGTCTATGCTGGACCAGTCCAAAGGTTCTAGCAGGCTTTCTTCAGCACTGGCTGAAGAAAAGCACAGGCACATAGGAGAGAAGTTTGCAGAATTATTCCTAGTATCTGTCCCTCTATAACTCAGCACCTTCCAAGCCCAGAATAATGCTTTTATGCTGAGTACCTCCTGGAGGAGTTTGATCTAAATCTGTTCAATTATATATTGGAGCCATCTGAACCTCTGACACTTAAAACATCCTGTAGTAAGGAGTTCTCTACTTGAGTGTATGTTCTGTGGAAAAGGAGATATTCCTGTTTCTTGCTCGTAGTTCAATTTGTTGTCATTGGTTTCTTGTACTGAAATAGCTTCTTGTACTTCCACTACTTGTACAGGAAGATTTTGCTTTTGTTGTTCTGGGATTAGTTTTATTCCTCTGGTCATCTTTGTTCTTCTCTACTGTTTCCTTTTCAGCTATGGCATTTTTGAGCCACTGGAACCAGAAATGCACAAGGTATTGAAACTTAGGGACATAGTGGTGGCTTCTGTTATGTTTTCTGTTCCTTCCATAGTTCCTTGTGAATTGGTATTTGCGGTTTTTGGACTATTACTGAGCAATGAACTGATATAATGTGCTTTCTTGAATGAGTATGAATGCAAAAAAACATAGTCTTGTTGCTCTAGTATTACCTGCTGCATTTGGTCATTCTGAAATTCAGTCATCTCTTGGGTCCGTATAACTTCTCCTTTTCGTATGCTTTAAGAAGGCTTTTAAAGTTTGATATCTTTTGCATCAGTTTTTTTTATTCACTCTTTTTCTAGGCCAAATGTATTGTGCTTTTCTGTTTAACCAGAATAGATTGTAATTTTTACTTTACTCAGTTGAATAATAGAAAGCTGTGCCTAAGAATACTCTTGTATTGCTCTGTAGCTAGTTGTGTCTGAGGCTTATGATTGAAGTGGGTGGCAGATGACTGGAGAACAATTTCTATTTGCTGTTTCTGTATAAATTTATTTTACTGTTTAGTTATTATATGTAAATGGCAGTTACTTAGGCAACCCACCTCTTTTGTTTATAATGGAAGTAAACTCTTTTCCATAAAAGAGAAAAAACAAAAGAACAACTGGGGACAAGTCATGACTGATTTCAATATAAAGTAGTATGCATCACTTAGATGTGAGCAGCCTCTGGAGAGGGATCAGTTTCTATATATTCATGATCCCCACAGCCTTATGAAGCTGGATCTTTGAAGGATGAAGGTGATGCAAGAACTCATAAAGGAGGAACTGCTCTCTCTGCTCTACAGGAGAAAATTTGGGGGACCAAAGGAAGACAATGAAGTAATTAAAAAAAAAAAAGTGATACACTGTAACTTTTATCCTTAGTCATATTCCTTCTTTCCCTCTCTGTCTCCCACTCTTCCACATCCTGTGTTCCCTCATTGCTTTTCTCCCAATTCAGTCCATTTATTGTCAGTGAGAGCAATCTTCTTTCATTACACTAATCAACCTGTGATGTTAAAGGTCTCCTTCAAAAGCTGTCT